AGCAGGGTGCAGAACTTTTCAGCAGATGGGAAGATGCATGTTTAATGGAAGTCAAAGAGGAAAAGAGAACTAAAGCATGATCCAGGCTTTAATGTGCTGAGATGCAAGGACCCATTCCTTAGCCTGTGTCTCCCTCCCCCACCATGCATTCATGCCAAATTTAAACATGCCCACATTCTGCCTATCATTCTTATGGGGTTTATATACTTGTGTCCCACAAGACTGATGTTACTAGAGTATGACCCAGGGTGGACCTGGGGCCTGGGCTATCGGTGAAATGCCTGCCATGCAAGCATAAGGGTTCAGATCCTCAGCACCCATAAAAAAGCTGGGCATAGTAGTACCTATCTATGATACTAGTGCTAGGTAGGGGGTTGGTGGAAACAAGAGAATCCCTGAACTCACTGGCTGGCCAACCTAGCCCAGTCATTGAGAGAGAGAGCTCCAGATTCAGTGAGAGACCCTGCTTCAGACTGCAGTCAGGAAGAAAGACCTCAGACATCAGATGTTGAACCACATGAACGTGCACGCAGCACTGGGGGTCATTCCTTAGTCCCAGAAGAATGAATGGGCCAGTAAGCCTCCAGCAGGAAGGCTGGGCCACTGGGGTGCAAGTAATCAGATGCAGGAGGCAGTGTGTCTTCAGGATGTCGGCAGGTCCCTTCTGCGCCTCAGTTACCAGTGCCATGAAGTGGCGAATGACACCCATGCCCTTTTCCTAGGGTCTGCGTCCAGGAGGAATGATGATGGTTTGCACCAGGTGGATGAGGTAGAGCCTGAGGGCTAGATTCTTCCCGAGGGGCCAAGGCACTGTTCAGGGAACCAGCCACGCTGAAGAGAGCTGTGCTGATTGTCTGCTGTGTGGTAGGGGGAAGTCCTCCTACTCCGAAGGGACCTCACACTTAGCCCAAAAGCAGATGGGAGACCTGAGAAAAGGGAAGAGCCTCAGGCTTATGTTGAGGTGGAACTGCACGGACACAGGGACACAGGCAGCTTCGGGCATGCTCTGCTCTGTCTAGGACTCTAGGGGATGAGTCTCTGCCTGGCTGGCCTTTTCTACAGCGGCTGTCCCAGGGTGCCAACCCTTCTGCTTTCCCAGAGTTGTGGGCTTCTCGTCCTTTGTCTTTCATGCAGCTCCCCAGAGGCCCCTTTCCCCAGGAGGTCCTCCTGTACCCACCCACTGGAGAGAGGGAGCTCCCTGCTGCTGCCGAGGTGGTATCCGGGATGAAGGCCTGTCTCCCCAGCAGACTCCCGTGGTACCTTATGGGAGCATGCCGTTCATCTGATCAGTGCTTCGTTGTGCATTTGCCAAGGGAGCATAGTGAGGGTGCGCGGGGTCCAGTGTGATTTCCCCCGCAGCTGAAACAAGGAGGTTTGCTGGTGGCAGAGGTGCTTCTCAGCCTCCTGCCCAGCTGCCTGAGGGAAGGGGCCCCATCCGCATGCAGGACTAGGAACTGGCCTTCCTCTACTGCGGGTCTTCCCTTGCCATGAGGATTGGGCATTGCCTAGGATAAGGGGCTGTCAGTGTGCCGGCTTTCCCAGCTGGCTCTGGGAGGCTGGGGAAGCTTCTGCAGCGGCTGGCCTACAGCCATGGCAAACAGCTCCACTCTGAACAACATCTAGTTTGTAGCTCTGTTGCAGACATGTCTTGAGTGAATGCCGGTGTATCTGTTCTTCAGGGTGCATCCATGAGTCTGAGGCGGTTTCTAGAGCAACACTCTGGGTTGCTGTTTGGGATGGGGTGACAGGACCCCGATTGGAATGCAGGCTGTTTTTGTTGGTTTTTTTTTTTTTTTAGTTTTTTTTTTTTAAAAAAAGATCTGTTGATTATATATTCATTGTTCTGCCTGCATGCCAGAAGAGGGCACCAGATCTCATTATAGATGGTTGTGAGCTACTATGTGGTTGCTGGGAATTGAACTCAGAACCTCTGGAAGAAAAGCCAGTGTTCTTAACCTCTAAGCCATCTCTCCAGCTCTGCAGGCTGTCCTCTTAAGCCACAAGGATACTGGGTTCAGGGCATATGTTTGTTTCCTGGGAGTATCCAGAAACGTTCTCTCTTCTCCAGTGGCCACTTTTAGGAGTGGCACAGGACAAGTTCCCATGTGTTTCAGAGCTTGACCCTTAGACCCTGGCCAGGTTAGATCTTGGGCGGGGCGGGAGGCGAGGCTCTGCACCAGCTCACAGACCTGTATTTCCTAACTGCATTAGTGCCATGAGGTTGTGGGCATGGATGTCCCAGTGGCGAGCAGCTCCTGGCCGACTGGTATGTGATGTCATTGACCAGTTTTATGCAGCTTGCCTGGCATTTCCCATATGGCAAACAGTAGTGCAGGTCTGGGAACAGTATAATAATCTCTGCTGGTTTTGTAGCTTAAAACCCAGCTGGTCAGAAATGCCTTTACTCTCATCTCCCAAAGGACGCCTGTGACCCCAGGAGAATAAGATGTCAGGACCTGTAATACAGAGAGTGGGGGGGGGGCAAGAGTAAGGCCTGAATGGATCACAGAGTGAGTTCCATTAGTGATACTTAGGTTAATTAAAAGATAAAAAGAGCCCAGATGTAGCTCAATGGCAGTTCTTGCCTCGCATGCACAGAACCCTGGGATCGATTCATAGTACTACATAAGACCAGGTTTGGTGGTGTGTGCCTGTAGTTCCAGAACTTGGGAGGCTGAGGTAGGAGTATCAGGAGTTCAAGGAGGCAGAGGGAGGAAAGGAGGTAGGACAGATGCACACAATTGGGGTGATCTAAATGAACTGATAGAAAAGTGGGGAATGATATTGACATCCCAGCTGGACAGTATTCGTTTGTTTGTTTGTTTGTTGAGATACGATTTCTCTGTGGCTTTGGAGCCTATCTTGGAAGTAGCTCTTGTAGACCAGGCTGGCCTCAAACTCACAGAGATTCGCCTGCCTCTGCTTCCCGAGTGCTGGGATTAAAAGTGTGCACCACCACCGCCTGGCAAGCAGGCCAGTATTCTGTTCATACCAGCCCTAGGCAGGACCTTGCCATCCCAGAATGTCTTGCTATCCTTTTAGGGCTTATACCTTGAATGCTCTGAACTTTGAAATGACTTTGTTAATTAGCCTTGTCAGCTGTGGCTGGGTGTGTTGCAGGGAGTGGACTGCGACCACATCTGTATCTGGCAGCCTTCCTTCCAGGCAAGACTAACTGCTTTTAAGGTAGTCTTTCTCTGTCTGGATGGAAATTTCACCCGTTTTGGTAACCACTAGCCTAGCCTGGACTGCCTGCCCGCCCACCCGCCTTCCTTCCTTCCTTCCTTCCTTCCTTCCTTCCTTCCTTCCTTCCTTTCTTCCTTCCTTCCTTCCTTCCTTCCTTTTTTGAGACCAGGTTTCTCAGTGTAGCCTTGGCTGTCCTGTAGACTAGCCTGATCTTGAACTCACCAGACTCGCATCTACCCTGGGTTACAGTGGATCTGGAGGACACCATCCCTGCTGTCTGGATTCTGTCTACACCTGTCCTGCCTTTACACCCATGGGTGGAGGCCCAGGAGTCAACTGGGTAGTACTCTCTACTGCCGTTAGTACACATGTTGATGCAGGTTCCTGATGCCCCTTGGACAGGTGTCCGTGGGGAGAGAACTTGACCAGCTTAGCCCAAGGGACAGGATGAATCACCCTGGACCACTGGACTTTATTCAGAGAGCTTGAAAGGGGCTTCTGGCTCCAGCAGGGCTTCTTGGTGTTAGTGGTGTTCCGTAATATTATGCTGCTGTCCTGTTTTGAGCTGTTAAGAGGAAGCCACTTGGTACCACAGTGAGGGAAAGCAATGTAAGTCTTTTAAATTGTTATTTTCTTTGCTCGTTGCTGTTCTATGCCTGTGTGCCAGGTGCCTTATTTAAACTTCAGAAGTGCTACAAAGTAGTTAATGTTGTTCCCATGTAACAGATGAGGGGAAGTGGTTGAAAAGCTTGCAGAAAGTACTTGATCAAGGCCAAGGCTACCAAGGAGCTGTCCTGGGTGCACAGCCCGGCTAACGTCGGAGCTGTGCATGCAACCTAGAACCTTAACTTTAACCTGCGCCTTCCAGTCACTCAGGCACTAACCTGCAAGTCCTCTGACCTATTTGCCCTCCCCCTCCCACCCCCACTGTCCTCCCCTCTCGTCTCACTGAGAGCTTGAGTTCTGGAGCTCTCAGCCCTCCTCCCAGCCTCCTGAGTGCCAAGACTGCAGGCATGCCTCAGGCTGTGCCAGGGTCTTAGGGAAGGTCCTTTCCCTTTGTGGCCCTGACATACTTTATACAGTTAGTTTATGCCCACAATTGAGATACATACCCAGAGATTTTTCCTAGGGCCTGGAAAGTAGGAAGAGATACATCACTTTCCAATAAAAGTAGGTTAAAATGTAATTAGGGGCCCAGGGCCTGCCTCTGCCAACAGGAGCAGGGACTGGCATCCTCTTCAGCAAGAGCAGCGTAGCACCCTTGTGAATGGGCACGGCAGCTGTGTGCACAGAGCACCTCCCTACCCCGTTGTGCTAAGCCCTCTCCTGGGATAAGCGGAGGCTTACTTGACCCTTACTGAGCATCTAGGGTGAGTTTTGGGTGGTGCTCGTTGCTAGGTACTTGGTAAACATTACCTTCTGGATCTATTAGCACACCCCAAGGTGTAGGTTGGGCCACTTGTTTTTGAGATAGGGAGACTGGCCCAGAGCGGTCAGGTTGGCAGACTGGGCCTCACTTTTATGTTTCAATGGCCTCCTTGCATACCTCTCCCAGACTAGACACCCTTGGGTCAGGGGACAAGGACACTGTTGTCGCTGTAGCCCCATACTCACATTGTAGTCTCCACTGAGTGAGTTTTAGGCATTTGTGGGATGGACTAAGGTTAAGTAACCTATCCAGACAGGTGTGCAGTGATGAGACCCTTAGATTTATAGGACTTTGGACTGTGACCCTGTAATCAGGGTGGGCTCTGATTTAGGCACTTATCACTAAGCCAGGTAGATACAAAATGGCAGGTACCAGCTTATTTGTATTCCATGATTATTTATTACAGCTATGATCGGAAGCCACTCAAATATCCATGAAGAAGGGCCTGGGGAAGAACAGTGGCCATCCACAGGACAGGGCACCATTTGGCTACCAAGAAAAAGGGTTGTTGGTGGTTAGGACGGTAGCTCAATGGTAGAGCATTTGCTTGGCATGCACGAGGCCTCAGGTTCAATCTCCCGGCGCTGCCAAGGAGGCTGCTGGGTGGGGTTTTGTTACTGAAACACAGTAAAGCTCACGCTGGCCTCCTGATTCTCTGCTTCAGGCTTCCAAATGCTCAGGTGACAGGAATGTGTTACCGTACCCAGCCAGGGCAGATGGTGAGCTCTATGAGAAAAAGCAAGACAGAAGTCAGTGTTATGGGCTAGTTTGGGGGTAAAGGAGAGAAAAATGATTCCCAAATTAACTCATTAAATCTAGTCACACCCTGGATATAGATAGGTAGAGTAGTTACTGGGTCAACAGAGGGTGGTGATGGGAGGGGTCACTGAATTATTTTATATTGTTTGATTCTGAAACCAGGAGGATTAATGTATTACTAGATGATGGTGGTGGTGGTGATGATGGTGATGATGATGATGATAAACACCTGGAAAACAGGCAACAACAAAGAGTGGTTTGGGGGCCAGATATTCTATTGTAGATCATACAGCTTCTTTTTGTTTTTTGAGACAGGGTTTCTCCGAGTAGCTTTGGTGCCTGTCCTGGAACTAGCTCTTGTAGACCAGGCTTAGCCTTGAACTCACAGAAATCTGCCTGCCTCTTCCTCCCAAGTGCTGGAATTAAAGGCGTGCGCCACCACCGCCTGGCTGATCATATAGCTTCTTACGTCTGGATGGGAACACCTTGGCAGATCCTTCCATGACTCTCACGAAGTTTGAGCAAGGCTGCCCTGGCACATATAGCAAGGAGCCTCCTCAGAGTGTCCCTTGTCTCTGTCCCTGTGTCTATCCCCCAACACACCACCACGGTGTAACTCAGTTGGTTCTTCTCCCAACTGAGTGATGTGAAGGATACAGTGAAGGCTGTTCCAGAGCATTCTAGCTGCCATATAGTGGGAAAGTAAAACCACAGGATGTTTTCCTAGGTTATTTTTAATGCCTTTCTGATCAGCAAACATTTACTGAGGGCTAATCGCAAGGAGGAGTAGCGGACTCTCTCTTCTAGGGTGCAGCATCTTGCTTGGTAAGGAACATGCTTGTGAAATGGATTGTAGTAATGCCAAGCACAGCATGGCTTCCGGGGTGCCTTCCCACCTAGCGTCTGGTGTGGTTCTGTGGATTCCTGTGGGGTGTGGATTCTTCTTCCTGTTGTAGTGAACACACTGAGTTCATAAAGTCCTGCCCCAAGCCATAGTTCTGGCCTGGGGATGTAGTTTGTAGAGTTTGCCTAGCCTGCCTGAAACCTTGGTCAGTCTCCAGCACAACTTAAAATGGGTACACACCTGAGTTCCTAGAACTTGGATGGTAGAGGCAGGAGGATCAGAAGTTGAAGATCATCTTCAATTGCCATAGAGAGTTTATGACCACCTGGTCTACGTGAGACCCTGTCTCGAAAACAACAAACAAAAAATGTCTCAGTTCTTAAGTGGAAAAGCAGTTCCTAAGTGGAAAAGCCTAGAGCCAAACCAGACTATGTCTCATTGTCCCTATGCTAATAATCAAAGCAACATTCCATAGGTTGTCTCCCATTGTGTAGCATAGGCCCATTAATGCCAGAAAACATGACCATCATGGCCCTCAGTAAAGTACCTTTGCTCATGTGCTGTGGGGCAACCGTGGAGGTCAAAGGACAGCCTGTCTGTCAGTTCCCTCCTTTACCATGTGGGGGTCCCGGGAATGATCTCAGTTCATCAGGTTAAGTACCTTTTACCCACTGAGCTATCTCACCAGGCCCTCCCTTCACAAATGCTCTTAAAGCTTCGCAACTGCCCAGCAGAGAGCCAAGCATGCTTCCCACTGAGAGTCCCGGCCGTGGCTGCTCCTTCCACTGTTAGTTAAGGGCTCTGTTCAAGTCTGTACAGAAAACACGCCTTGGATAGATTTCTTTAGCCGCCTTTTCAATACCGTCCCTTGCCACTTTACTTTTCTCTCTTTTCCTTTGAGCTTCACTTGTAAATACAGGTGTATGCAATCACTGGCTTAGTACCTGGTCATCACCTCACCCCTAAGGCGAACACCTAGGAGGGCAGGCACCACACGGGTTTTCTGCCATGCCATACCTTACCACCTCACACGTTGCCTGGCATACTGTAGCCTCTCATTAAAGACTACTGAACGAGTGATTGGGCCTGTGGTCTAAGCAGGTAGCCCTCCTTCAGAGGAAAGAAGGCAGTGGTTTTAGAAGTGAAAAGGCCCTCGGCACCTGCTTCACAGAGCTTCAGGATACCTTGCTCGTCCATCTGATAGGTGTTCGGCACAGTTTGTGCGCCAAGTTCTTCGCAGATGGCTGCTTAGCATCCTTTGCTTGTTGTGGGTCTCCAGCCTTCCAGCCTCGGCATCCCTGGTTCCTTCAACTGTCCAGGTTTTCAGATGCCTTCCCATCCTAATTGCCTTCTTCCTTCCAGCCTACTCTTGAGGTTCTGGAATTTAAGGTTTGGTCTTTTGGTGCAGCTGGAGTTGGGGATGTTACACCAATGAACCTTGATTTTTTTTTTTTTTTTTCCATGTGCTCAAACAAGGGCGTCATAGTGTGCCCGTGGTGGTCAGAGGACGACCTGCAGGAGTTGGTTCTCCACCTGTGGGTTTCAAATATCAAACTCAGGTCATCAGGCTTGGTGACTGAGCGCCTTTCGCCACTGAGGTCCCCCTCCCCGCAAATCCTTGGTACAGTACGTGCTAGGCAAGCACTCCACTAGTGAGCCACGCCTCCTGCCCATGCCCATTCCTGAGCCTGAATAACTTTGTCAGTGTGGGCTGCTGTGCTGGGGGTGGGTGGTGGGGCTGGTGCTCCCTCAGGAACTGACCTCCTGAGTCTTATGAACTACCTCCAGCCTATCTCCACCCATCTTATCCTCCTATCTCTAGCCCCTCCTTGACTCTCAAAGAGTCCTGAGTTTAACATTTTAGGTTGTTTTTTTTTTTAATTTTAAGATTAAAGTAACTGTAGATTGTGAATAACAGTTAACTCAATCTGTTGTTTTTTGTTTGTTTGTTTGGTTGGTTGGTTTTTGAAACAGGGTATCTCTGTATAGCTCTGGCTGTCCTAGAATTTACAGATGTCCACCTGCCTCTGCCTCCCAAGTGCTGGGATTAAAGGTGTGTGCCATCACCGCTCTGGCTCTAAGTTCTATTAAAATAATTAAGTATAGGTCAGTTTCCACCAGCAAGACCAGGGGAAGAGAACGGTACTCTTGACGCTAAACCAAACCTGCATTGCCTGGTTTGGCTTAGCTTCCCCTTCCTCCACCTCCCTCCTACTCCCTCTCTTCCTTATCCTCCCCTTCCCTCCCTCTTTGCCCGCACTTCTATCTCCCCCTCCCTCCTCATTTCTGCTTGCTCCCCCTCTTCTCTGCCAGGGTTTTTACCATAAGTATTTGATTTGCCCACTTAGGTGAGTTGAGTGCATCCTGTTAGGCTGAGGGAGAAACAACTGATTGGTTCCCTTCTTATTAATTGGTGAGATTCTTCTGCGTGGTTGGTCTCTGCGTCTCCCCAAATCATCCATTCCCTACTGGAGCCGAAATGCCGGGGTTTCAGCACTAGGGCCCTGCTCAGCTCCTGTGATTGAGGAGGCTGCCAGGTCTGAAAGGTGACAGAAGGAAGCCAAGGCAAGGCTTCTTCTCTTAGGTATGTGAGGTCTGGCTGGAGGCCTCCCAGCCTAGAGGAGGGCCAGGTTGGATCTCTGCGTACTCCCCTCCCCATCCCTCTTATGTGCCTCCTGTTTCCTCTTGCTTCAAGGAGGTCCCCCTGGACGGAACTGTCTTTGCCTCTGAGCCTCGGGCTAAGAGAAGAGAAAACAATCCAAGGTTTTCTTCACTGGCTGACACTGATATTCACATATACCACAGGGTGGTTTCGAACTCCTTAGGCAGCTGAGGACAGTGATAGCCTTGACCTCTTGATTCTCCAGATCTACTGCCAGTGCTAGGGCTAGAGGCATTTCACCTGGTATGGCTTATTCAGTGCTGGGGAATCAAACCCAGGTTTTATGCAATGCTACCGCCTGAGCTACAAGTCCATCCCTGAAACGTTTGTTTGTTTTGTTTAAAGGTCAACTGGAAATGGGGTCGATCTCCACGCCAAGGCTTCAGTGCCCTGGCCTCTGAGTCTGAATGGCTTCGTGCCTTTTGAGATGAGTCATGACAGGGTCATGATGGGCAGAATCACTGAATTGCCAGGGAAACTGGGGAAATGACCTCATTTGTGTTGTGCGGTCAGCATCTCCAGGTGGAAGCCCTAGGGAGGATGCCGAGGGCCTGCCTCAGCACCCGCCCTTGAGTCCACTAGAGGTCCCAGCATCACTGATTTCAGCAGCTAGTCACTGGCATCCCTCAGCTAGTACAGTTCGTCTGTCCATGGATGGTTCTAGTGGGATGTTTTGCCTCAGACGTCGGGGAAGGGAGTAGTCATCTAGAAACGTCTCAGGGATGATTGCCCACCTGCGCTTAAACCTTTCTTCCGGCCTGAGTGGCATGTGAGCACTCAGTGAGCATGAACTGGCTAGGCCCTCTGTGCAGGACACCTGGGTGGGGGGGAACGGGACGCTGAATCTTTAGACCTGTGCAGCAGCTCTCAGGGGGTCCTGGTGAACAGGGACAGGCTTCTGGGAAGGGGAGGGAGGTAGAATTCCTTCGGTATGCAATACAGTGTGTCACCATGTTTTGCCGTAGAGGAGAAGGGCAAGCAGTGGAGGGAGGCAGACACAGCTGCCTTGGAAAGAGGTGAGGCTGGGGGCCTGGGAATCCTGCTCTGGGTTTGAACTTGATCTGCATGGCCATTAAAGACTTTGGGGGGAATAATGACTCACAAGGTAACATCACTGTATCTGCCCCAATCCAACCCTCCTGAACCCAGCTTTTCTATTGCATGGGGTTCAGTGCTGTGGTTCCTTAATAAGAAGGTATCATCTACTGTGGATTTTTATCAGGAATCCGAGTGTTGGCGAGTGGAAGTGGTTCATGCCCATTCCCCTTACCTTAAGAGGGGCACAGGTGCCACTGGGTCCTCTGTGTGATGACTGACTGACAGGCTCCCACATTTAGAACCCCACACCCTGGGCCTCTGGGGACTGTTTTTGTAATCTTGGTGTGTTGAAAGAGTCTAGCTGATCTGTTTCTCCGTTTTAGTTTTTATCTAGAATAATGAACAGTCTTGCACCTTTGCATGCTGAATCCTGAGCTCTTCCATCCCTGAGGTCTCATGCCTCCTTTGGGATGTCCTGTCAGAGTTTAGATGTAGAGGGAATGAATACCAGGCCTTCAAAGTTCGGACCAGAAGGGCTTCATTTTTCTCTATTCCTGCCCCACTACCCAGTGTGTAGTCTGAAGGATAGGGCAGAAGCTCAGAGTGGGTAGCAACTTCTGCCAGGGCACACAGCAAATTCAGCTGCTCTGCCAGAGGTCCTGAGTTCAATTCCCAGCAACCACATGGCGGCTCACAGCCATCTGTAATGAGATTCTGGCTAGCAAGCATACAGACAGACAGAACATTGTATACATAATAAATAAATAAATCTTAAAAAAAATTTAGAGACACAGCAGGGGCAGAATCTAAGTCGAGAGACTGCCTGTAGCTTCCCTGCATACTCCTTGAGTGCTTCTTGACCAACCCTTCTTTTTCTGGCCGCCTGGACTAGTGTTCTCTTCCTATATTCCAGACCACACAGGAAAACAGGAAGGGAATTCAGAGAATGGAGCCTGCTAGGTTTGGTCATCACCTCCGACTTTCCGTATCTCTCTCTCCACCCCATCTTTCTTTCACTGCGGTACCCTCCTCCAAACCTTCAGCCCCCACAGCAGCCCTCTCGGCTGTTTCAAGTCTCTCTGGTAACTTTGTGTTACCTGAAAGTCAGTCACGACAAGGGCAGGGCCAGGCAGCCAGGGAAGGAAGGCTTGGTGCAGGAGGAGGAATCGATGGTTGAGATGGAAAGCAGGTTCGAGGCTTTAAAAGAAGAAATAAAAAGGGCTCAACAGTTAAGAGCGCTTGCTGCTCTTGTAGACTCCCAGGGTTCGGTTCCCAGAACCCACAAGTGGCTCACAGACGTTTGTAACACCAGTTTCAGAATATCCAACAACCTCTTCTGGCCCCCGCGGGCACGGGGCACACACACACAGTATGCAAGGAAAACACTCGTAACACATTTTTTTTTAAAATCTTAAACAAAGATAAGAGGAATGCTAAGACGCAGTATCCGGGTTGGGGCAGAAGGTAGACATACTCTTGAACAAGCCTGGCCTTGCACCGGGGCATCCAGGTACCACCACCAAGCCCTTTCCACTGAGAGGAAGCGTCCCCAGCACCGACTCCTGCGGGAAGTGGAGGCCCCAAGTCACCCGACTGCGCGCTGGGCGGGTGGTGCGGAGGGAGCAAGTCACGGGGCTGGCAGGCTGGTGCCGTCGGTCCCGCCCAGCCTGCTGAACCTATGAGCCTGCCCGATCTCCCTCGGCCCGCCCTCCCACCTCCCAGTAATGAGGATGGCGTCACCGCTGCCCGCGCCACGTGCTCCCCCGCTGCCTGCCGAGCTGCTTTGTACGCAGCAGCAAAAATCCAAGGCCCTGAGAGGCTTTCAATTCTTAGGGAGGTTTTGTTTGTTTTTAAAGCGAGAAAGGACCTTTCCCCTAGCTACGACTACGCACGAGGCGTGGAGACCCCAAGCCCTGGCTGCCACCGAGGCTGCAGGGAACTCCGGCCTCGGGAGCTTGGTGAATGGTCCGTGGGTGCCTTTACTTTCTGCCAGGGGCTCTGATTCTGACCTAGGTCAGGTGTCCATGCGTGGTATGGCAGAAAAGAAAAAATTACCCAGCCCAGAGTTCCTTGCGTTCTCTGCCCAGTTCTGCACCTGGATCCTCCGTTAAAACAAGGGCTCTTTAAACCGCTCAAACAATTGATCTCTCTCGCCCACCCTACCCGACTGTGGGCCCATAATAAGAGGGCTGAAGAGATGGCTCAGCAGTTGAGAGCACTTGCAGCTCTTATAGAGGGCCTGGATTCTGTTCTCAGCATTCATGGTAACCTGTAACTCCTCCAGAAGACCGTTTGCCCTCCGCAGGCTCCGCTGCACCTGCGGTATTCACTTACAGAAACATATAAATAAAAAATAAGATTCAAAAAATTAATAGATGAAATGTGTGATGTTTGTTTTCAGTGTGTGTGCCTATACACTCAAAAGTGCACGCTTTTAGTAGAGTGGGTTTTGTTTAGTTTTTAGATTTATTTGTTTAAGTGTGTGTCTCTGTGTGTGTGTGTGTGTACATATACAGGTGCCTGGGGAGACTAGAGAGAATAGGTCATCTAATCCACACTCCTTCCCAGCTGGAGTTCCAGGCTTGAGAGCCTCTGACCCTGTGTGCTGGATACCAACCAAACGCTGGCCTTCTACAAGAGCAGCAAGTGCTTCTGAACCATTTCTCTAGCCCCAAAAATGTATACCTTGCAGTGGTTGTGAGCAGAAAGCCAGTGACCTCTGGGCCCAGCGATCTCTCTCTGTAGCTTTCAAAAATATCCGACTTCTTCTCCAGAGCGGTGTCCCTTCCCTCGTGGAACCTTAGTTTTGTAGGTTTTACCGTGCGGCTTGGTAAACAGTTTACCGTTAAAACAAACGCAAGCATACTTCTATTATCTCTGTCTAAACCTCGCTGACTCATGCGATCTGGCCTTCTAGCTAGAAACGGGATCTGCTACAGGGGATGGCCCATTTAAAAGCTGACCTAGTTAAAACCCAGGAGCACCACAAAACACGGGGTCAATTTGATTTGAGTCTTCTCTTCTGTTCGAAACCTGGAACCTAAATTGGCCAGGGACTGACAAAAGTTGAAACCAAAGCTACATATATTTACCCAAGTATTTCTCAATAAAGGAAAGGAAAGGCATGACTGGAGGTTGACATAGAAAACCAGGTGAAACAAGATGTAGAGATTGAGCATACAGGGTGTGTTTGGGACTCTCTGTGCCTCTCCGGATTAGTATGGAAGGCTTGGGATGTTGAGCTAGGAGTCCCCATGGTAGGCAGCTGGAGGACAGGAACAGAGTTGGGTGCCTTTGTTTCCATGCTGGTGGCTTCAGTGTGGTTACTATACATGTGTGGATACCATAGCAGAGCCAGCTATGGGTAAAAGGGATAGGGGTGGCTTTTTTTAAGATGGCGAAGTTCTGGGCTAGGACATCTTATTGTTTAATCCAGCCCTGGGTAGTTGACACTAAGAGTTGTGAGAGGGAACTAGAAGGCCAGGGAGGTGAGAGGCCAGATTAGCCGTTCTCAGCCTTCCTAACTCTGTTCCTCATGTTATGGTGGACCCCAACCATAAAGTTATTTTGTTGCTACTTCATAATTGTAATTTTGCTACTATTATGAATTGTAATGTAAATATCTGTGTTTTCAACGGTCTTAGGAGACCCTTGTGAAAGGGTCATTCATCCCCTGAGGGGTCTTGACCCAGAGGTTGAGAACCACTGGGCTAGATTGAAGAACTTGGACTAGAGCCAGGTCTGTCTGGCTACAGAGCCTGCCTTGTGCCCACCCTCTCCGAGTTGCCACGGAAGTTGGGAAGTAAAGAGCAGCTCTCAGAGTATCCTTTCACCTGGGTCTTTATTTTTTAGAAGGCTGTTGCAGATCCAAGCTGTCCAATCAGAGCCATGCGACCCACACACAGACTTGGCCGTCGTTGTCTTTGAGTTTTATGAGACAGAATTTCACATAACCTAGGCTGATCTCAGACTCGCTGTGTGACTGAGGATGATGTTGAACCCGTAATCCTCCTGTCTCCGTCCAGCTTATATAGCACTGGGGCCCAAATTCAGGATTTAGCACATGCTAGGCAAGTGCTCTATCAGCTCGGCCCTCTCAGTGAGTTTGGAACGAGGGACCCACCTTTTCATTTTGCACTGGGCTGTACTTACAGCACCATTCCTGACTGAGACAGCATCTGCCCTCAGTGGCCTGTCTTATCTACTAGGGAATACATTTGAAGAATACTGAGTCCCTAACTCATCCTCCTACTTGGTACTCTGGGATAGAGCTATTTACCAGCTAGCTGTCATCTCCCAGCATGCCACCAACCACTGCTCCTTCTGGCAGACTCCTCCTCTACCCCCCCATCTGGGTTCACCATGACTCCTGTGTCCCTTCAGCCAACAATGTGGCAGGAGTCAAGGGAGAACCGGAGGCCTGTATGTGAGTGAGTACTGGACCAGTTTGGTAGGGTAGTGGCGGATGTGCTCCCAGGGCTGGGGCCTGATGGGGCCAGAGCTGCTGAATGTAAGGCAGAGCTCATACAGCCTTGACTTCCACCGGTTACAGCACACCGTTTATGCTCTGTGTGTCGGGACTGTTTGGCCCCCTCTCTTTTGCTATTCCCATTATTTATATTGTGCTTGGCCCAATAAGGGGGGCATTTGCTAAGCGGTGCTGTGGTGTGCATTCCCGCTAGGCTGATTATAGGGAAGGACAGTCTCTGACCTCTAGGAGGATCAGATGCTTAATACACGATTAAATGATTCATGCAGCAACTGCCTCTGAGCTCAGAGCCTAGCCCTGGTGCTCAGTGCCAGTTACAAGGATGGCTTCCTGAGAGGGGGGGACTTGAACTAGATTTGGGTGCAAGGGCAGGTGATGGGGGGGAGGCTTCTAGGTCACATTTAGAAACTTGAACACTTTCCCAGACGTTAACGAGCTGTGAGCGTTTTTGAGGCTGGAGTGTGCACTTTATAGGTTAAACAGATGTCACCGAACCTTTTCTAAAGCAGTCAACGCTTGGACTCCACAGAACAGAGATGGTATCATTCAGCCCAGATTAGGGGTCTTGTATCCAGGGTGAGGTCTGTTACCAGTAGACCAGGCTATCGCTTAACCACATCCTCCGCTGAGGTCACAGCCTTCTAGTTTGAAGTAGCGTGGTGGCAGTGACCGGGGCTGCAGTGTTGGAGATGTAGAAGAAAGGTCGGTCACATCTGAGAAATAAATGTGTAAAGACAGATTCGGTGGTTTTGAAACAAACAAGTTCTTGAGCCGAGTGTGTTAGTGTTTGTCGTGGAATTTGGCTCCCACTGGTGAGAAATGATGGCAGACCCAAGCTTTGGAGGGGGGGGGCACAACAAGTTGTGTTTTTTGTTGTTGCTTTTTTTTTTTTTTTTTTTGAAGAGCAAGGGCAGACTGACTTCTGGAGAATCTGGTGCCTCCCTGCTGCCAGCGGGATGTGAGTGCCAGTCTCCTCCTGGGTGTGACCTCTGGGGGAATGGAGATTGCCTCCTGCCTGGGGCTGGAAGTCCCTGTGTAAGCGGAGTAATTCTGGTGGCAGGGGCTACAGAGAGCAAACAACTGCTTCGGGGTGTTTTTAAAAACGACCGGTGGAACTGGGAGGGCATCTAAACCCGAAGTACAAATTTCCAGTTTAATTTTAACTTGTAGCTCGTGCACACTCGGGACTTGGCAAGGGAAGTGGGCCTTTATTTTATTTTATTTTATTTTATTTATTTATTTATTTATTTTTAAGGTGCAGCGCACCCTGAATACAAAAGGGATTTTCTCCTCACTTGGAAGGGCTAGAGAAGAGGCTGCCAAGTATGGAGGAAGTGGGTTGGAAATGATAGCAGCTGCAGGGTGGGTCCCCTAGTTCGCAGGCCTTAGAGACAGCCGGGGGGGACAGCTAGATGACTCACACAGGGGACTGTGGCTGGAGGGTTTTTTTGTCCCATTTGAGCCACTTCTCAGGCAGCTCACCTGCCTATCATTGTGCGCCTGTGTGACCTGGGCTTTCTACAGAATATTGAAACCCTACGGTCTATATCCTGCCCCCCCCATTTTACCTCCTGAACTGTGCAGGGCACCCCTCCCTCCCTGTCAGGAAGGAGGTGCCTCGGAAAGGCTACCTAAGAGTTTCCTAGATGGAGTGGAAGGAGCCCTACTCCTTGGGGACCCCACACCGCACCAGAGGGGAACAGCAGGGAGGAATACACAGCCATCTGTGCCATGGCCAGGTTGAGCTCTGCACCTTGGGGGTTGAGGGGGTAAAAGTGGTGCCCACCCAGCCGGTGAGACAAGAAAGGGCTGAAAGGAAGCCATTAGCCATGGGAACCTGTGGAGTGTATCTGGATAGCTGTGTGCCCTAAACCTCGGAATGTCAGAGATGCTTCAGGGAGCACTACTACATTGAGCGGCCAACACTGACCGTGTTGGTTCCACAGATACCTGCTGTGACCGTCCTGAATTTCAGGAGAAGGGTTTCTTTTTCTTTTTTTTTCTTTCTTTTTTTTTTTTTTTCTATTTTGAGGTGGCATCTCATGCAGTCCAGGCTGGCTTCAGACTTGACTGTGTAGCCGATGATGACTTTGAATGCACCTGGTTTGTGGGGTGCTGGGGATCAAATCCAAGGTTTCATACATGCTAGGCAGGCGCTACCAACTGAGCCACATCACCAACCCAAGCCAGGTGTTCTTGATGTGGCTGTCAATAGAGAGAATCCCCCTCCAGGGCAAGACTGGAATGTTGAAATGAAATTGTGTGAAATGCTTTAAATGTGTCTGTTGTGGAGGAGGGTGGAGTTTTTTTTTTTTTTTTTAGCAGTAGCTGTGATGACTTGCATAGTGTCTCTGAAAGGAGGGGCCCCCAGTTTGGGTGTGGTGCTGGGAGGTGGGGACTGGCCTGGTCGCCTGTTTGTAGAGGTGCTAGGCAGCCTACCCTGACATTAGGAGTCGGGGAGGCACTGTGCCTCCCCGGGATAGAGGCAGCTTCCTGGGGAATCCCCTTGACTGTCCAGCACCACCTCTCCATCCCAAGCCGTCTTAGGCTTGGCTAATGGCATGAAGAAGAGAGGCCTTTGACCGCTCTAGGCAAACCGCATCACGTCTGCAATCTTTGCCTGGGATCTGCCTCTGGAAGCAGGGATTCCCAGGGAAATCAGTTAAGGAAGAAGACTGGGCCTCCGGACTCCAGCATTTACTGCTCTGGTCCCTCTGCCCACAGCCACTCTCCCCCAACTGTTTGCTCCCGGCAGCCCGGCTTCCTCTTTCTGCAGCTGTCTTGCCCTAGAGTGGAGGACCACCTGGCTTTACCCTTAGGTGCTCTAACCAGTGAGTGGCCTGACCTGGACGGATAGGATAGCCTTTTGGACTTCCTCAGCTCTCAGATCCATCAAGAAGATGGAGCCTGGCCAGGACTCCAGAGCTTCAGTGAGGAAGGTGGCATTCCTGGCTTTCTTCCCTTCAGATGGACTCTGAGTCCCTGCTTTGCTGGCCTGCATGGAGCACTCCACTGTACCTTCATCCACAGGGAAGAAGGAAGGCGTGACTCTGCAGGGCCCATGGCCCATCGTCCCTGCCTCCTTGCCTTAGCCTGCAGTGGATTCTGTTCCCTGCAGAGTGCCTAAATACAGGGGCTCGTGGAAGACCAGAGCAGGCCGTTCTAGCTGTAGAAAACTCTAGGAGAGGTTGTCTTCTTAGAGAGCCACAGCCATGGACCAGGACTGGCTCGTGGGCTGTTTATCCAGGGGAAGGAAAACAGTGGTGACCCTGTGAGCCGTGTGGGCCTGTGGTGAAGTCCCAAGTTGGAGGGTACAGTGTACCGAGTATTCTTGACGCTTCCGGGAGGCCACTGGGTAGAAGCGGCTCTGAGGCAGTGTCCTGGTGTGCAAGGACACGCTGAGACAAGTGCTTTCAGGAGGGGTTGTCTTCTCTTTTCAGATTCCTGTCAGCCAGGCCTAGTGCCACAGATCTCTAGACGAGACAGGAGGATTACAAACCCAAGGCCTTTTTTAAG